CCCCCTCCCAAAAAACTCTGCTCTGTGACAATTTGGTTAACATGGTCCCTGCAGAGGGCAGACATCCCATCTCTTTAGATAACCTCAGTTGGATACATTCCTGAGGGAGGGGGGAAATTTGCTTCCTCTGCCTACGTGACTGGCATCACATACCTGGGTGAGGGGCTTATGCTCCCTATTATTCTAAGCAATGCCAACCGGACTGGGAAGGGGCTAAGGACCCTGCCAGTCTTTCCAGCAACCAGTGATGCATTTCAAATTGGTTGGCTGGCAGCCGGCAGGTGCTGGCCTCCATTGGACTAGGTAAATGAGGTCATAAGGTCTATACAAGTTAAGGACTGGCCAGGAGGAGGGGCAGTAGCCATGATGAAAACTCAGAGAGAGAAGAGCTGGACCATCTGAAACTTGCCATCTCTCTCAAAACTCATGATCAAGAAACTGCCTGCCTCCAGATGGAATCTCCACCTGCCTCTGGATGATACTCGTGAGTAAGCTACCTGAGGTCTAACTAGATATATAGCATTGCAGTAACTTGAATGTGTGATCAAAGGCTACCCAGCCATACCAGTTTGCTCTATGGGATTTCTCCAATATTGCTCTACCCTGTACCCTATTCCAAACCTACTCCTTGTAATCAATAAAGTTCTCCTTTGTACCTAGTGTGGGAGACTTATTGGGAGTTGGTCTATGCCTTGGGGTCCCCTTGGTTTGGCTGACTAAGAAAGACCACTATTTGTGCTTCAGACTAAGGGAAGCACGCCAAGTTCTTGAAGTGGGTCAAGTACCCTCAAGGACTACTAGGTCTGTGTTTCCCAGGGGGCACAGAGCCAGGATCAGTCCAAACCCTGGGTGGTGACGGCATTATCCCCAGGCTAGTGGGTGTGCTCCAGGAAGGGGGCGGCCAGATGTTAGGTGCCTCCAGGGAGGCACTCAGAACCTGGAAGGTGGTTGGGCACAGTGAGGTGGGTGGCTCAGTACAGGAGCACCCCCTACTGGCCTACCACAGTCACCCATTACCACAGAATAACTGGACTTTTTACTGGATATTCTGATTGCTCCATGTTAACCAAATTGTCACAGAGGTGAATGCTTCTGAGAAACCAACAAAAGTCATGACCAAGGCACTTGTGTGTCTTGAGCACCAGTAAGCAGTTGCCTCATGCAGTGAATTAATTCTAACTTTCTTTTGTGCTTCAGAAACCAGCTTGACTGGTTCACAGCAGAGAGTTAAGAAGGATTTTATCCTGTTTAACAACACCCTGTTATAGAACTTCAGTAGCAGCAAATGCAAGAGGCAGTGGAGACACCATAATTACTAATCACAGGCACCAGAACCGGGGGAGCAGTATGCCACTGTTGGGGAGCTGTTCCATAAATTATAGTTGTGTTGCATATGTCATGAAGAAGTTGGTTAGTTTTAAATCATCAGGCCATAATGCTTCAGTAGTGCAGCTGGAGTTAGTGCCAGGGGCCTTTTCTTAGGTTAGCTGTACAATATAATCAGAGTAAATGCATAGTAATTAATGGGAAGATCAGTTGGAGCAGGGGAGAACTTATCCACAGTGACATGTTCATTACTGGCTTTATGGCCTGAAAGTATTGCTTCCATTCTTCTTGGGCTGGTTTGATATTAAACCACTTTCTCTGTTCTTCACCTTTGCTGTATTTTGATTATGTGTCATTCCAGCCAAGGCTCATTTTCCGGTACACACCCTCATACTCTTTATTTCTTTAAACTGTTCCAGTTCTTTACAGGTTCATTGAATCATAGCTTTTGTTAGATGATCATTCACAGATAAAAGGCCATAGGGGTTTTCCACTGTTCTGATATTCTTTAGCAGCTTTTTTGCCTGCTCTTTGTCAGACTGACACTTTCATTTCTTTGCTCACCCATGATGGAGCAGATCTCTGAGCAGTATCCAGAATTTTACACGCTGTGTTTTTGAACGCCTTAACAACAACAAAAAAATCACAGTCTTTCTGGGTGTGGTGATATTTTTTAGATTCTGAGACATTCATAATCTCGCAGTTTTTTGTGCAGTTTTTTTCTGTCTGATATTATTGCCCAGTTGAAACAGGAACATGAGGAAGTATCTTTTTTCAGTAGAGTCCTTTCTATTTGTGATGTCATAAAGCAGGCATTTTCCTAGGTTTTGGAAGAATTTATCATACCTGGTCCTAATTTGGCATTAAGATCTCCCCTTAGACAAAAGACATGGGGAGGGATTTTCTAAATTGATGTTGTCGGTATTGCATTAAACTGTTGTTAGTTGACACATCCGAATTCTCAGTAGGCATGTCTACACAACACCTTTAACTCAAGATTAGAGCAAATTACTGCACAGTAAAATACAAGTAGCAAATTTATTCATGATTAGTTACTGCACTATATGGCATACATAGACGGCCAACTGGGAGCAAACTTGCTCCCGGCCAGCTGGGCAGCAGGGTGCAGGAGATTGCTCCCTACCCCTGGAAGCTGCCTGCTGCCAAGGCAGGCTCTGCCATCAGAACCCAGGTGAGGACAATGTCCCCATGCCCTGGCAGCTGGAATCTCCCAGCCCCTGACCCCTGATCTTAATTGTGGAGCAGGGACTGGAGAGATTGTTCCCAGCCCTAGCTCCCAGCTTGTTCCCACCCCTGCCCCGTGATCACAGAGCTGGACTGGAAACAAGCTCCCAGCCTGTTCCCACCACCACAATCATGGAGCTGGGCTGAGAACTGTCCCAAACAGGGGCAGGTCCCAGCCCCATGCCCTGATTGGGCAATCAAATCGTGGGGCTTGGAAAGAGCTGATGGTGATCCACCAGTGGGGCAGCTCAGCTGGGGACTTGCTTCTAGCTGCCTCACCAGCAGATTGGGGCAGAGGGCTGGGACCTTCTCCTCCCCTGTAACTCTTTCCAAACCTCCTAACCCTAATCAGGGAGCCAGGGATAGGAGCTCCCTGCTGCTGTGACAGGGAGACATTTTTCCCACCCAGGCTCCACCACTGGAGCCCACCAAGGCAGCAGGCAGCTTCTGGGGGCAGGGAGCAATCTTCCAGTCCCCACCAGGAGACAACGGTCTCCAGCCTCCCTACTCCCTGCCAGCCCCTGGGATAGCACCCAGAGGGAGCCTAGAACTCCCCCCTGGCTGCTTCAGAGGGGATGGGACCAGACTGCTGCCAGGAGCAGCCATTCTGCTCCCACCTCTCTGTACATGTAGATGCCTGCCCAAGGTTGGTTTATGCTAGAGTAATTTACCCTAGAGTAAACCCACACCGCAGCATGTGCACATGTAGACACATCCAGTAGGTCCATATATGCAAGCTACAGTCAGAGAGAAGTTGCCTGTCATGACTTTTAACATGGTTCTCAGTGTTTTGCTTTCCTGAGATCATGTGTGGAAGAAGCACTGAAAAAATGGGAATCCATCTTTCCTAGGGAGGTGATGATTGCATGAGCAGTAGGCAAATGACAGCTACTATCCAGAGAAGTGAGATGTTCCCACTCGAGTTGTCAGGTGTGTATAGGCTTGCATGCAGACAAAGTCCAACCTTTTTGAGCTCTAGTGTACAGGTGTTATAGGTCAGCCCCTTTCAGGGGAAGTTTTACCTCAGGATTCCCCAAAAAGAAGCCTTCCTCCTGAAGGACCCCATCATGGGATGGGATCCCCAGGGCGGCCATGACGCCCCTAGGGCTCCATGACCATGCAAATATTGCCCAACGGGCACCCTTTTCCTCTCCTGCCACATCTTGCTGGTAATTATAATAATTAGAGAGGCTGCCCTTGAGTTTGTGTTTGGACATGGTCCTGATGGAACCCACTGAACCCTGTGGGTACTTGGACCCCTTTTGGATCCTGCTCAAAATGGATGCCTCACAGGACACCCTCAGCCTTATGGGCTAGATGCGTGGCTCTAAAACCGCCCCTTTACCATGTCCCATGTAGCTCAGCCTCTTCTTTGGTGCTGGGCTCTCCGCAGCCCTGTCTCTGCACCGACACTGGCACTGGGCTCTCCACGGCCCTGCCTCTGTGCCCACACTGGTGCTGGGGTCTCCACACTGTAGTGTAGCCCCAATGAGGCCTTCTCCTCCCCAATAACCTCAGTCCACCAGTTTATAAACAGCAACTAAAATATGAGCCCCTGGGCTATAACATAATACAAAGCAGTTCAGGGTGCACTCTGTCCCTTTAAAAGAGGTAAAATTCCCACCAGCATTAAGTGCCTTGTAGGCCAGGGTACCTGGTGAGCTCCTAGAGCCCCATTAGCCCTATATGCAGCATATCAGGCAGCCACAGCATCTCTGGGCAATTCTTCTCTGCAGGCTCCTTCCCCTAGCTGTTGCCAGAGAACTGACCCCACTGGTCTCAGCCCTAGGGTTTATATGTGCCCAGGTCCCTGCCTTCTTCCAGTCAGCTGACCGGGTGCAGGTCCTTTGTTAGCCTGCTGCCATAGTAACCTACAGCTGTAGGGTATCTGCCAGGCTCTTGGGGCCCTCTCCCTAGGCACTTTAGTGTCCTGTGACAGACCCCTGAAGCCAGTGCTGGTGGGGCTTGTAAAGGGATAAGCCTATGTTGAGACCCTGGCCATTCTTTGTCCCTGGCTTCCCCGAATTCATAGCACTCCCACCTCAGAGAGGGCCTTTTTCTCAGCCCTCAGGCAGTGAGATTTGCCTCTTCAAGGAGGGAGGGGAAGAAGTCAGAGTGCCAACAGCACAACAGACAATTCCTTTTCAAATAAAGTATTTAATGTGCCACCACAGTTCCTAGTGGTATAGGGACACAGTCAGACATCTGGAGCACAGTGGCAGTAGTGATTTCCATAGGCACATGTTGGTGTTTGTACAGATGTGTAACAGAGAACCCAAGCCCTGTCACCAGAAAGCAGGTCCGCCCCTTTAAGGCCAGAACTTTCTGGGCATGGAGTGCTGGTGAGGAAAGGGTTAAATGCTGAGCCTGGCCAACTGGTCAGCTGACCGGAAGGGGCAGCACTATAATAACCCTGGGCAGAACAGCAGTAAGGGGGACAGCAGTTGAAGAGGAAGGAGTGCCTCTGAGAGCTCCACAGAGAAGCTGGGTGAGTAGTCCAAAGGTAGGAATGATGGAAGCTGTGGGGAGATAGTAGCCGCACCACAGCAAGAACTGTAGCCGATGGAAGGAAGCTGAGGCACGAGCCCTGTGAATGTAAGCTGACCTGCTGCTTTGCTTGATCATATTGGTTGGTGACAGTTATTATTTTTTTTCTTTGATTATTGAATAAGACTGTCAGTTTGGGTGAGGCTATTAGGGGAAGGAAGAGGCCTCATCTTGGGGATCCACTACAGGGTGGGGACCCTGGTGCCAGTGAGGGTGTAGCTTTTGGGAGCACAGACCCTGGTGCCAGTGAGGGCGTGGTTTTTTTTGGGGGGGGGGGGGGCATGGGCCCTGGAGCCTGAAGGTGTGATCTTAAAAAGGCCAGGGTGGTCTAGTGCACCCGGGGTGCAACTTTATTTTGATTTTCTTGGACTGAGAGGGTGCAAGTTTGGGGTCATCCCCTGGCTTTTTGAACTTGTGGGACTTGTGGGACCGGTGCCTGGGCCTCTGGGCTGGGGGGCAAGCTCCAGATTAGAGCAGGAAAGGGGGCCACGAGCCTCAAGACACCGGAAAAGGCTAGAGCCTTGGAGTTAAGCCCTGTTTAGTGGGTTTAGACAGGGAGGCCTAGATAGAGAAAAACAAGGGTAAGGCCCACATAGCTGAAAGGCCCCAACATACACAATACAATAGGCAGCCTCCCGCTCATAAAAACATCATCATCATAATTTCTATCAAGACGTGGCAGGTGAGTATAGGGTGGGACATAAGAACCCCAAAGAAGGCTCCAAAGGCACCCCATGTAAGGTGCAGATCACCAGGAAGATGGTGCTGGGGAGGGTGACCTGTTACAAGTTGCCAACAACAACCCCTTCTTTTTTTTTTTTCATTCTCTACACCCACCCCTAGTTCATGCCTGAGGCAGTTGCCATATTCTAGTTACACTACTGATGGTGTCCCCCGCCTCTGCTCCATCCTCCCTCAGATTCTCACTTTCCCCGTGGACTTCACATTGGGCCACTGAAACAACCTCATTGGCCTGGGATTTCGCATTTCCCATTACAAAGATGGGGAGTTGCATTTTAGGAGAACCTTTAAAAAGTAATTAGGATTATTAGCACAAGGTGGCTAGGACATCTTATTTCCAATCCCTACTATTAACTTAAGGGGGAACTCTTAATGCTGGAGGGGATTTTGTTTAAAGGCACCAGGTATGTGATTCTTAAGGTTTTACAGAAAAGTATCTTAAAGGGGCTATATGAAGGTCATTTAGGGACTGAAATATGTAAGGGACTAGGCAGAGATATTTTATACTTGCCTCAAATAAACAATGACCTTGAGGAAGCTGTTGCATAATGCCAAAAATACAGGCCAAGTCGAGCAAAACAGCTCATGTTAGTGGCACAGGAAAAATCAGGCTGACAGTGGGGGGGGGGAAAACTATAAACTTTTAATGAAATACTATATACATTTCTTGAAATAGCTTCATTTAAAAAAAAAAAGAGCCAGCATATCAAATGCATTTGCACTAGATATAGTATACCTGACAAACTGATGTCTGACAATGGACCACAATCAAGTAGATTTCATAGACATTAGGCCTGGAAGGAACCTGGGAAGATCATTGAGTCCAGCCCCCCTGCCCCAGGGGCAGGAAGTCAGCAGGGATCATAGGATCCCAGAAAGATAAACATCCAAACGTCTCTTGAAGGCACTCAAAGTAGGTGCTTGAACCACTTCTGGCAGCAGTCTATTCCAAACCTTGGGGGCTCGGATAGTAAAGAAGTTCTTCCTTATGTCCAGCCTGAAATGGTCATGGAGGAGTTTGTGACTGTTCGACCTTATCAACCCTTGGGGCACTCTGGTGAACAGACATTCCCTCAGATCCTGGTGAGCACCCCATATAAACTTCTTGGCAGCCATCAAATCACCTCTGAGCCTGCACTCTTCCAGACTAAAGTCCCATGGCTCTCAGCCTCTCTTCATAAGGTCTGTTTCCCTGACCTCTGATCACGCACGTGGCTCTCCTCTGCACCTTCTCAAGCTTCTACACATCCTTTTTGAATTGTGGAGACCAAAACTGGACGCAATACTCCAGCTGGAGCCTCACCAAGGTCAAGTACAATGGGAGAATGATGTCCTGGGATTTGCTTGAGCTGGAAAACCATCTATGGATGCAAGCCAGTGTTTTGCTCACTTTACTAGCTGCAGCATCACATTGCAGGCTCATGTTCATCTTGTGGTATATCGCAACCCCCCAAGTCCCTTTCACCCAGAGTGCTTGCCAGCGTAGCACTGCCAAGCCTATAAGCATGCTGTGGGTTTCTCCTCCCAAGGTGGAGAACCTTGCATTTTTCGGTGTTAAACCCCATCAGGTTCTCATCCGCCCATTTCCTGAGCCTGTCAAGGTCAGCCTGGATCACCCTCAGTCCTCAGGGTGCTTTACCCCAGAGTTTGGTGTCATCAGCGAACTTGGCCAGTCTGCTTCTGGCCAAGTCCACATTATTAATAAAGATGTTGAATAGTGTAGGCCCAAAGACAGAGCCTTGAGGGACCCCACTGGACACAGGGCACCATGACGATTGACTTCTGACAACCACCACCCTCTCTAGGTCTGACCACGGAGCCAATTCCCTAGCCAGAAGATCGTGGTGAGGCCAAGGCCACAGTTTGCCAGCTTTGCCAAGAGGTGATCATGGGATACCAGATCGAAGGCCTTTTTTTAAGTCAAGATATATGGCATCAATCTCTTCTCCCTTGTCCTGGTGATAAGTCACCTGGTCGTAAAAGGAAATAAGATTAGTTAAGCAAGACCTACCCGCAACAAACCCGTGTTGGCTATCCCTCAGGATGTTGCCATCGGCCGGTCTGTTAAGAATGACCTCTTTGATAATCTTTTCTAAGACCTTCCCCAGGATAGAGGCCAGGCTGATGAGCCTATAGTTTGCTGGATCCACTTTCCTCCCTTTCTTGAAGATAGGTACCACATTGGCTTTCTTCCAATCTTCGGCTACTTCACCAGAGCACCAGGAGTTCTCGAAGATCCATGCCAGGGGTTGAGCTATGATGCTAGCAAGCTCCTTGAGTACCCTGGGGTGTAGACTGTCAGGGCTGGCTGATTTGAAGGTGTCCAGCCTCTCAAGGTGTTCCTTCATGAAGTCAGCATTGATGAAGGGTAAGGAATCTCCCTCACCCGGGCCTCCTTGTCCCATAGTGGGCAGGGGCGTCCCATGGGACTGGTGAAAAACCAACACAAAGTACCCATTTAGCAAGTTGGCTTTTTCCTGGGTGTCGGTTGTCAGTTGTCTCATCAGGTTTAGCAGTGGTCCAATGTTGCCCTTGCTTTCCCTCTGGCTCCCCACATACCTAAAAATGGACTTTTTATTGTTCTGGTTTGCTCCCTGCAGGTCCAGACCAGTGCAGAGTATTCCTCCTTTTGAGGTGGGTCCAGTCCTCCATCTTTTATAGGTCAGTCTTCTTAGATGCAGGAGGTCCACTAGCTCCCTGGAGAGCCAAGGGGGCTGCTGTGCCCTTTAGCTGCCTTTCCTCCGAGATGGAATAGACTTTGCTTGTACATCCAGGATTGCTCCTTTGAGGAGCAACCACTCATCCTGACCTCCCCTCCCCTTTGGGTTGTGGCTTTTAAGGGCTTCACTGACAAGCCTCCTGAGCTTGTCAAAGTCAGCTTTCCTGAAGTCGAAGACTTCTGTATTGCTGACTGACTTGCCAGCTTTACAGCAGATGGTGAAGGTGATCAGCCCATGGTCACTGTCACCCAGCTTCCCTTCGATCATTAGGTCATCCCCCATTGTCAGAACCAGGTCAAGCAGCACTTTACCTCTCATGTATGAGGTATGAATTTAAGCAGTTTGGAGGAAATACTAGCACAGAATCATTACAGACCAGCACCAATGAAGCCCATTTTGTTCAAAAGAAAAAAAAGGAAACGAGGATTCTAAAACTGTTGGAAGCTGATGTCGTTGGGGACTTGTAGATACCTTCAGAGACAAGACGGGGCAAAACAAAGCACACCAATTTCATTCTGGGTCTCCAGAACTGCCATGAAGATTAAGCTGTGTATAACTATGACAAACAGTGGACTGCAAGGCTACCTTTTGCAACATATGAGCTGGACACCATAGGCAACACCTGCTCAAAATCCTCAAAAGGAAGGCAATAAAGAGCACCAAGCCACACATTTCTCCAAGGTCCCAGGCAACAATCACAGTAGGCTGAGACAGCTGATGTGTTTAAGTTTCAAGAGGTTCACAATGCCAGCATAATGTCACCTCACTGAACATGACAAATTAATTTAGTTAAAGGATCAGTTATAAATATTTGAATTTCTATGCTTTGTTGATGTTGATTTGTAGTTCTGTTTTTCTAGGAACAGAGGATGCAAGGAACTGTACCTTTAAGAGACTCTGTTATAAGACATAAGGTGTTTTAGTGATATCTTTTATTGGACCAACTATATACTTAGGAGAGAAACTGGACAAGCTTTTGAGTACAAAGTGCCCTTCTAGAGGTTTGTTTGTGCCTGAAAGGCTGTCTCAACTCTACAGTTGGTCCAATAAAAGATATAAAACCCCCTTGCCTCTCATACATTATGGGCCATCACAGCTATAACAACACTCCAACTCTCTGAGCTATGAGCCAATGGAATGGGATTTTGTTATACAAAGATTCATCTTACACAATGCTGATGAGTTAGGACTCAGAGACAGAATGAAACAGACCTCTGTCAGACTTTGTGGCTCTGTGTGATTTCTGAACAATACACACAGAAAGCAGTCTAATGAGGGAGTTTCTGTGTAAGAAATTGAATGACTTGTCTATACCCCACTAGAAGTGGGTCCAGTCCCTCCCTGAGTGCCCCAACAACCCAAGTCCTCTGAGCTCCAGAGTCAGAAGCTCACCAATGAGGCTGCTCTAGACTCCTCTCCAGCACCTGCTGTCAGGCCACTGGTCTGAAAGCAAAAGGATCCAGATCAGCCTCACTAGTGAATTTCCAGCACTGGAGCACATCAGCAAACATGGGTGCATACAGCATGTTCACTCTGCCTTCCCTTCAGGGATGGATAGAGGTGGAGTGCAGGTACACTCCACTTCCTTTGCTGACCTTGCTGTCCCCTGCTGACCGAAGCACAGGGGAAGTTCCAAAGGCTCTCCTGCCCAACTCCAGCCAAGGGGTGCCAGGCTTGGCAAGGGACAACAGCAGCAGTGGGTTTCCTCTTCCTGCATCTGCTCCCTGTCATCCTCCTCCATGTCCCCTCCTGGTTCGGATCAGTTACTGGAAGGAAGAACCCACCCCCACTACTGCCACTGTCCCTAGCTAACACAGGCACCAGGGGAGCCCTGGAGCTGCTCCTAACCTGCTCCAGCTACTGGCTGCAGGAAGCAGCTGCATGGGGTACCAGGCTTGGCCAGATACAGTAGTGGCAGTGCACAGGTTCCTCCTTCCAATGGCTCTTCCTAGTCAATGGGAGACATGGGTTGGGGGAGGCAGGAATAGGTGCCAGAAGGAAGAACCTGCATGCTACCACTGCTGTCTTTGACTGAGCCCAACTCCTGCACAGCTGCTCCCTTCAGCTTACAGCTGGAGCCAGGCAGAAGCAACCCTGGAGCTTTCCCCACCACCCAGGTCAGCCCAGGACAGCAGGAGTGACAGGTGTGGGACCCCTTTATACACCCAAGGGAATTTATGTGCAGAAAACATCAAAATTATGCTCAGAAAAATTCAAAATTATCTTCTGGAGTGCTGGAAGCCCCATATGGAAGCACAGAGCCAGCTGGCCCAGCCCTGTGGTATGCGGACTGGGAGCTGCACGCCATCAGGCCAGGCAGGCTCCATGCCTCCACATAGAGCTTCCAGCACTCCAGTGCAAAGCCACATGTGAAAGCAAGCAGGAGCCCATCTGACCCAATGGTGCATGACTCCATGCCTCCATGTGCGGCTTCCCACCTGGCCCAATGATGCACAGCTTCTGGTCTACATGCCATCAAGCCAGACCAGCCTTCCATTTGGGGCTTTCAGCACTCCAGCAGGAAGCCACACATGGAGGCATGGAGTCACAACCCATCAGACTGGGCAGGCTCCGTGCCTCCACATGCGGCTTCTCACTACCAGGCCAGGGGCTTAAGCCATGCCTCACCCTGATTTGCCCATCATCTGGAAGGAAGGTGCACCGCAGCCCCTTTGGGACATTCTAGATCTGCCCATGTTTCCCTTGCCCTTGAGGCTCACACAGAATAGGCGAGCCCAAAAATGCAGTGGCTTGCAAGGTTAAGTGGTTTGCCCAAGGCAGCACAGTGAGCTTATTTTAGGGACAGAATTTGAATGGAGTTTGTTACTTTTGAGCCTTGTCAAATACATGATGCAGACTCTCAGTGCCTAGAAATGATGTCCCTATCAACACAGCATAGAGGTTAAATTGTGGTTTTTGGCCCTTTCACAGTACAAAATGTCAAAAGTCCTTAAGAGGAAAATAAAAGCCCACATCCTTTTCATTTTCTTTGTCTCTCTCTATAAAAAAGACATGTCATAGGGCAGAACATACAGCAGCAATCATGGGATTCCTCCTCACCTTGTCTGTTTCTGCTGCCTTTTATTTGCTGGCAATTCCTGGAGGTAAGTACTTTTTTATCCTTTGATTATAATTGATGGCATGTGCAGAGTCATTATATAGTTAGATACCAGTCTATTAAAATAATGAAGCTAACAGTTACCAGGAGAGAGAGAATGTTCTTATTTTCCATTGATTGCACATATTTGACTGCATCCAAAATTGTTCTTGAAAGGACAGTATTAAATAAACGTGTAGAGAGAGGGGGTCGATTCTGGAATCTAGAAGAGTTTTATATTAACGTTACTTGACTCTCTCTCTCTCTCTCTCTCTCTCTCTCTCTCTCTCTCTCTCTCAAGAGATCCATCTATGTAAGTGTCAGAAATGGCCATCTACGGTCTCTCCACTATTGACATAAATACCTGGATTTATAGCCTTTTGGGGGGGAAAATGTTCATTCAGTGCTTATTCATAGATTCATAAATTCATAGATGTAGGGTTGGAGGGGACCATCACCAAGTCTGACCTCCTGCCCTGGGCAAGAACAAATATTGGGCTCATATGACCCCCACTAAGTTAAGCTCATATGACTCATTAGGTAGTTGTCAAGCCTTCTTTTTAAAGACCCCTAAGGTATGAGCCAGCACCACTTCCCTTGAAAGCTGGTTCCAGATCCTGGCCACCCTGACTGTGAAGTAGTGCCTCCTGATGTCTAGCCTGAACCTACTCTCAATCAACTTGTGGCCGTTATTCCTTGTTACTCTGAGAGGCGCTTGGCGGGGAACAGGGTCTCGCCCATTCCCCTCTGGTGCCCCCTGGTAAGTTTTTTATAGACGGCCACTAGGTTCCCCCTCAGCCTTCTCTTGTGAAGGCTGAACAAGTCCAGGTCCCTCAGCCTCTCCTTGCAGGGCCTGCCCTGCTACCCCCTGACCATGTGAGTGACCCTCCTCTGGACCCTCTTGATGCTGGCCTCATCCCTCCTGAAATACGGCGCCCAGAACTGGATGCGGTACTCCAGCACTGGCCTAACCAGTGTTACACAGAGCAGGAGGATCACCTCCTTGGACCTGCTCATGATGCATCTGTGGATGCATGACAAGGTGGTGTTAGCCTCGCTGACTGCGTCCCCACACTGTCAGCCCATGTTCATTTTAGAATCGATAATGACTCTGAGAGAGAAAGATCTTTCTTTCTGCCACTGTGCTTTCAAGAAGGGAGTTCCCCAGCCTATACGTATGCTGCTGGTTCTTCCTGCCCAAGTGCAATACCCTGCACTTGTCAGTATTGAATCCCATCCTATTCACATTCGCCCATCCCTGTAACCTGTCCAGGTCCAGTTGCATCCTGCCCCTCCCTTCTAGCATGCCCACCTCACCCCAAATCTTGGTGTCGTCAGCGAATTTGAACAGAGTGCTTTTCACCCCCCTTGTCCAAGTCACTGATAAAGAAATTGAATTGATAACTTACATGGCACATATCAGACTGCATGCTGTTAATCTAGTGGCAGATTAAGGGTTCTTGAACAAAATGAAAGTTCTGCAATAGAAACAACTTAAGGAAAGGAAAAATCTACATGGGAGCAACTTGTGGGTGGGAGTTTCAAAAGCACTCACTGCTACCCTAAAGCTACTCTTATTGAATTCAGTGGAAGTAGATTTAGAGCAATGCTGAACAACTTTAGAAATCCCTCTATGAAGATGTGTGCACTAGTATATTTATGTGTATTTAGAGGTTGCTTTATATTATTATAAGTATATTTCATACCTTGTATTTTATAGTGTATATTTTAGAACCTACTCAATGGATTTTCTTACAGTATTTGCTATCCCAACTGTGTTCACCATGGCTTATTTTTCATTTTAGATTTGTGTATGAATATCATTGGAGGACAAGATGTGATTCCACATTCAAAACCATTTATGGCCCTAATTAGGAGTAGGAAAGCATACTGTGGAGGATCTTTGATTAAAAAAAATTGGGTGTTAACTGCAGCCCATTGTTCGACGTAAGTTCTGTTTCATAGACTGTCTTACCTGATTAACAGGATAGTAAATAAGGTACAATATGAATGAAAGCAAATGTTTGTCACTGCAGGTTCCATTTCTAAATCCCTTAAAGCCTGCTGCAGATACTGTCAAAACAAAACATAGATATGGTCAGTTTATTTCCTGTTTAGTCAGTTCATTAGCTTAGAAATGAAAGTCAGCATCTCTGAATTTGTCTACTTAGTGTGGCTGTGATCATAGTTTTATTATTACAAATGTAATTTTTAAATTGCCAGTAGTAGTATTCCCCACCTAGTATTTGCAAGACTAACATTTAGGACCCTACAGAGAATAGAATGCAAGTTTGGGTTTGATCTGAACTAGAGGAAAATGCTAAACTACAAAACACACTTCTGTTAGTAAGTAAACATCTATATAATGTCCTAAGAAAAAAGAACTGAACACTTCCCTATAGTTTTGCTTTCTATCACATAAGAAAGTCTTGCTGCATGGGGGGGAGGGGAAGGGGGAGAACTTAAATGACCTCAGATGTCCAGCTTGGCTTGAAGGGATTAGCAATTATTTCCTGTCCAATCAAACATTGGATCAACCCCTGGATCAGCAAGTGCAAGTAGTCATAGGATATATTTGGCCTTGATTGACAAAGAAGTTTTGGGGTTTCCTAGCACTTATACATAGAGCCCCCAGCAAGCATAGCTCAGTAGGTCCATTGACCTGTGAGCCTGGGAGGAGGAGACAGGACAACTGAAAAATTACAAGTGAGCTGTAATTTGCACAAGTGAACTGATGCAGATGGAAGACATGATGTTGAGATCTGGATCAGGAGTATCTCAAAGGTTTGGTTTTCAGGTTCAAGGTTAAAGTAACAGTGCAGGTTAAATAGTGTCCAAGGTTATGAGCAGCTCTTATAAGATTTTGGCCCAAAATGACAGAAATAGCACCATGTAGATTCTTGTGAGATTTAGATTTCTGCCACCAGAACATCTCAGGTATCCAAACTGAAACCAAAAAACATATCTCCTCCACTCTTCTATCAATTCTAGAATCAAAGCCATAGGGATAACTTACTATCCAGGCACATGAATTCTCTCTCCCAGCCCAGATATAGCTGTATGCTTTTGGTTTATTTAATTATTAATACCTATTAAATATTAATAACAATGTAGCTCTGGTTCATATTTTAATTACTGTTACTACATAAGCATGAAAGAGATAAAGGTTGATCAATTCTTCAGAGAAGCAATTGGGCAATATAGAAAAATATAATACTGTATTCATCAGCAAGGTAGTATAGTACCTTTTAGAAATGAATGCATGCATTTGTTTTAATGATTAATCCAGTTATCTTTTTTTCTTTTCAGCAAAGGAGCTGAAGTTATTCTTGGAGCTCATTCAATATCAAAGAGAGAAAAAGAAAAGCAGCTTTTTAAGATTGCAAAAAGAATTCCCTATCCATGCTTTGATGGTGCAAATAAAGGAAATGACCTAATGCTTCTGCAGGTATAGAATGTCATTAAACATAGTTTTAAGGACATGCATTTTCTATGATGTATGACTTTCTCCCTTATCAGAGAACTGGGGGGAAGGATGTGGATCACAGGAGCTCTTGATAGTGATGCTACATAGGAGAGGCAGTAAAGCCAGAGAACCCAAACCATACATTTGGACCAAAAGACACCATCCCATAATTCCCATGACACATCAGTGTCAAGAGTGGTGATATTCTGGGTGCTGATCAAAATTATTCATATTTTTCAATGAAATACCAATTTTTCTGCTGAAAGCAGGCACACTACCACAAAATGAAGAGTGGTGAAAATTTATCATTTAAAAAAAATGTTAATAGAAAAATCTTTGACCAGCATACCCAGACCAGGGTTTACTGCCATTCTTCTGTCAGTGGTGTCAGCCATGTGCTTTGGAACAGTCCTGTATTCACTTCTTATTTTGGCAAGCTACCCAAATGTTTTTGAGGAACTCCAGGCATAGAAAGAAAATGCTGATTTGTAATAGATAATATCTCGGCAAAAGCTGAATAAGATTTCATGGGATAGAGGTCATGCATTTGCCTAGCTCAGAAGCATTCCATGCTGAATACAAAAAACAAATATAAGGGGTTTTCAAACAAAAGGTTACATGAATCCTCTATAATCCAAATAAGACATATATTAGGGTAATGTTAGTGATGCTGTAGCCTTCATGGCTGAGGAACTATGCAAGAGACAAGGATTTTTTAGGGTGCTATCTTTTATTGGACCAACTGCCTAGTTGGGATAGAGTTAGACAAGCTTTTGAATGCAAGATATTCTTCTTCAAGTCACTTCTTCGGGTGACAAGTGATGCTCCACAGGAGAGGTAGTCCAGTCAGCCTTGCAAGAAATTAAAATAAGAAGAGACCTGAAAAATAATGTCTTTCATTCAAAAGCTTGTCTAACTCTATCCACAGTATGCAGCTGGTCCAATAGATATCACCCTAAAAAATCCTTGCCTCTTAAATAATGAAGTTACTAATGGCTTCCCCCATAATAACAATATTTTCTTTTTTTTTTTCATTGTAGCTTAAAGGACGAGTAAAAATTAATAAAGCTGTGAAAACAACTAACCTACCTAACACAGGCGGTGATATCAAAGCAGGGACAAGGTGCCAAGTAATAGGATGGGGAACCACAAATAATCGAATTAACAAGGTGTCTGATACCCTAAAGGAGGTTAACGTCACAGTCATTGACAGAAACACTTGCAATGACAAGAAACATTACAATTTGCAACCTGCAATTACAAAAAACATGGTGTGTGCTGGGGATGTGAAAGGAGGAAAGGACTCTTGTTCTGTAAGTACATTTATTTCCAGCTAGAGACTGTTAGAATTAAAATGTAAAACACAGGATATTCTGGACAGTACAGAGCATTACCAGTCCTTATTTTAACTACAAAACAAGTGGATTTAAAAGTGTATTATGAAATTTATTGAACTAAGTTAGGATTCAGAAGGACTTGGTTGCTTTGTTCTTCTCACCAAAACTTAAATTTAGAGATTCTGACTTGTAATATCTTGATGGCATTGGACGTATTTGTCTAAGCAGAATGAACAGAAAAATAATATTTGCATCCTGCACTAAAAATGCTCTTTAATGGGAAAAAAAGAGTGAAAATATCCAGTTTTCACAAAAGTAATGCAGAGTATGCTATAAAGGCATCTTCTAAAAGACAATTAAGTCAATGAAATGGCTTCTCTTGACTTCAGTGAGCTTTGGAACAGGCTTCACATGATCAAAGATATTTCACCAGTAAATGGATCAAGTAAGAAAACTTATTTCAGCTAAAAAACAGTGCTGTCAATATGAACATGTCTAGACCTCTCACTTCTGATACCATGCAGTGCCATGCTAAAACAGGCTGCACCAGAAGCAGTACAGATATGTCTGGGTATCCCTGCATCCAAACCAATTAGCTCTATTGAGAAGCCAAGACAATTTGCCCATCCACAGCTCTGCAGTAGAACGGCTCTATTGTTTCCTCTTCACCAGACATCATGCTTAGAGCAGTGCACACTAGATCAACATGGTGCTCCCTGGCATGGAAACTGAGAAGTAAAGACATGCCCTATAAAAACAGGTGTATTGAAAGAGGATTTAAATATTACATTTATGATATTAGACAATATTTACTAATTTCCAAGAAATTTTATTCATTTCAAAGAGGACAGTCTGTATCCAATTCTGAAAGAATGTAATAATTCATTAGTGCTCACATACAGACATATTTAATTCATAATTGAACAGATGAAATTCAAACGTGTCCCTTTTTTAAATATAGAATATGTACTCTCAGATATGAGTGGATCTAGGATTTGAAAAAGGGGGCACAGATGGTGTGGTGCATCATTATGTGTAACAATGTGTACCTTACCAAATCAAAACAAAAAACAAAAAACCAGAAGGATTACTAATGAGCTAGTGGCCTAGGACTATATTATTCAGTTTAAGTAAGGAGTAAAAACAAATAAATGTATTGGTATGTGCATTAATTTGCAGTATCATATATTATGTATTTAAAAAAAAAACAAAAAACTACAAACCAGGCAAAAGCAATCAAAAGATGTTGTTTCATTAGTTCTACAGTCATTAGAATTAAATGGATATCTCTCTCTGTTTTATGAATCTAAAAAAAAAAAAAAAAAAAAAAAAAATCTAGACTTCTTAAGTAGCTTGAAGGTACATTCAATGCATCACTGAAGGTTATTTCCACACTGAGTTTAATGTATTTAGCTAGAGTTTAAAAAATCTACAGGGCTGTGAAATAGGAGCGGCCAACAAACAGTAGAAATGTAGTAGAAAGGCTAGCTTGATCAGTTAATCATCAAGAGCATTAAAAAAGAGAGAGATGGTTCACCTATGGAATGAAGAATTTAGAAGGAACTGGGTAGATTATGAGCCATTAAGTCAATCATCTCCTTACTACTGCCGGAATAGACATGCTTCTGTCACTGCCAGGAGGTTGGCTTTATACTTTGGGTGGAGCGGGAATCGGAGAGGGATGGAACTGCACCACTGCATTCCTCCTCCCCACCCCCAGATCCACCCTTGCTTTCAGGAAAAAACAATAGAAACCAGTCTGGATTTTAGAAAATCCTACACGCAAACTGATAAGCTTCTATAAATTGTACTATCAAGCTTCTATTTTTGAAGCTTCTATAAATTGTACTATCAAGTGTTTCTTCCTTTCTTTCAGGGGGATTCTGGCGGTCCTCTGATATGCAATGGTGAATTGAAAGGCATCACATCCTTTGGCAAGAAAGGACAGTGTGGTGTTGTCCAATACCCTGGCGTCTACACTCTTCTTACCACCTCCTATATTAACTGGATAAAGAAAACAATAGGGGGGGACTTGGAGGATGACTTTTTTGCTGACTGATTTCTTTTTTTTTTTTCTCTTTCTCTGCCTCTGCCATTCAGTTATGTGTAGCAAATTTTTAACCATGTTTGAAAGATGCAATCATTAGGAAGTGGTATTTCCACACTAAGCCTCTCTGGCTACTATGTTTCCTATCAGAATTCAATTTCATATGTCTTCATTCTGCACAGGCATGACCTTACCCTGAGCCCAAAACGAGTACAGTACAGTGTTCTGCAATCACAGGATGTATGGCCTGTGGTCTTAGTAACTCAGTCATGGCTCGAGAGAGGATGATTCCTCCACTTCTACAAACCAAATTTACCTTGAGGTTCCTATGGGTATGAAGGGTTTCTACATTAAGGACCCAGTCCAACTCCCATTAATCCAGATTACATGGCATTGGAAGCCAATTGCAGATTGCAGTCAACGATACCTTCCTGTATCTTGATTTTTGTAAAAACCCCTTGCATTTATGGAGACACTGGGAATGACCCCAGAAAACCTGAAAAATTGCTGGCTTCTCTTCTTTCCCTGCTGGCTCCTCTTCTCATGATTCTCTCCCTAAAATCCATATGAGGAGGCTATTTGGTCAGCAGTCTCTAGATACGTAGTTTCAAAGATTTTTGCTGGACAATGTAATAGACCAAAGGGTCTAATAATTTTATATTTCCTTTCTTTGATAGATTCAGCATTTCAAACATATGATTGTATTAATGTATTTTGCATTAAAAAAAAAAAAAAAAAGCAATAAAGTTTATGGTTTAAGCATATAATTTTGTGGAACACTTGTTTCTCCCAGTTCAGATATATTACTGATTCCACATTCTGCTGAACATGGACAATATTGTAAACTGCATCAAGACATATTCTTGGTTATAAAAGACTTTATAGCAAAGAATCAATGGAAAATGCTATACATGAGCCTGAAGTGAAAGGAGAGATGTTATCTCTCTTTAGGCACAATATTTGTACAATACTATCCTAATGGCAGCTGGTAAAATAGAAAAGTTTGATTTCATGACCATCACATGAGCAGTTAACTATATTTCAGTGACATTTTAGTCATAAATAATGCAAAATGTTCGCCCATCATGCCTCTTCCAACAAGACCAGGTACTTCCTGCTCCAAAAATACCTTGAAACATTTTTTTCCAGAAGTTGGAAATAGCTTGCAGACTTGTGAGGGGGGGAAAAAAAGGATAGAGATATTTACAAGCCACTAAACACTGCATATGAAACTAAACATGAAGAAACATAAGCCACTCATATCTCTCTACCTGACATAGTAGTGGGGTGAAACATAGGTTTAGTCAACAAATGCACATATGATTGGTTGGGGAAGAGAGATGGCTTTACATTCCTAGGGTGCAAGCTACAATTTTATCTTCCCCTGTTACGTCTCAGCTCTGTATTCTTGGGCAACCGGGGCACAGGATGCAGTCCGTCTGACTCACAAAGGACTCCCCCCCCCCTCCCCTCCTCTACCTAAATGAAACTGATTAAGATGCAGTGAGAGACGCACCTAAGACCCTCACCAGATAAGGGTGACAAGAGTGAATCAACTGCCCTAGGTCTCATTTACATCCGAGATGGAACCAGATGACCATTCATTTACATGAGAGATGGAAAACAGAAAGCCTGAAGCAGAGACTGCAGTGAATTCTGGGACCAGAGAAGCAGGGGAGCACTGCATGATGGGGAATCTGTGCTTCAAATGTTAATCAACCCATGTTCACACGCATCGACCTCAGCATTTATCAGATCAGTTCTAATCTGGATTTACTAAGGACTTTTTCCCCCCAGACACACACACACAGCTCTAAGTTTAATAGGCATCTCGGGCCGTACATTCCCCAGTCCCACTATGGGAGGCCTATTTAAACTTGATTGACTAAAACTCGGTTGCCGGGTTAGGGAATGCTGAGGCAAGAGACCGAGTCAGAGGGGGTATGGGCAACATTTGAACAATGGTTAAGGGTTCATCACAGCATCCAGCCTGCTGGAGCCCTAATCCCAGGTGTTGTCATATCTTTCCCGAGACGACTGGTGGGAGTCCTCTCCACAAAAGGTTATGAGCACCCCAATAATTGCTTTAAGTCTGTTAAAAGACTATAGTAAGATCTGGAAAAGTCATGCTAAGCTGAGGCTTGTGCACAACAAGTAAAAATCCAAAATCCTGATGCTGCAAGCTATCTATTGTTCCTGAAGAAACCATGAGATATCCCATCAGTATATCTGCCACCCATAGGAATTTCAAGCTGGCTCCCAAGTATTTGGGTTACTCCCTAATCTTAAGTGTTTCCTGATTATCAATCAGTTTCCTGAGATGGTCCAAACCAGATAACCCCTTGTCAATAGAAAAGACAATGATTTACACTACTGAGGGTGCTACGGAGCAGCTGAACTGAGGGTATAAAAATCTGTAAGTGTGTGTGCTGCTAGAGGAAGAGGAAGGTTCTCTGTCTTCTTTCTAGGCATAAACTTCTGAACCTGAACTGTATCAGTTAAGCTTGAGCTAAGTTTCCCCAAATACTTAGTGAAACCAGGGTAGTATTGTCATTGTTGGTGTTTGTTTTTCTTTTGCATGTCTATTACTACTAGTACTATTATATATTTCATATGCTTAGCAATAAATAACTTTTATAGTCAAACTGGTAGTAATTGGGTATATTTTTTCCTTCGCTGCTTCTCTTTCCTCCCGTGCTCTGCAGCAACGCTTCTTTTACCTATGCTAAAGATCCCTGTGAAGCCCAAATTATTGTGCGGTCTGCTCATCAAGAGGCCAAAGATTGGGACGTACTGAGTTTGAAACACATAAGGGGATCAGCTTGTATAGGCTGATTGACCCAGTTTGTCTCAGACGTGCCCTTATGAACTGAATGCTGGCCCATGAGGGTGTCAGCTGGACACCCAGCCAGATTCAGAGGGATTCTGTTTACCTGTGTGCTTGTGTCTGACTGCATTTTATTGTTGCTCTTATGAACTGATTCTTGGCATATGAGGGTGTCAGCCTGTCCATGCTGATCAGCCCGGCCAGGTCAGGCGTGTCACGTTAATTTGTGTGTGTTTGTGTGTATGACTGATTTGGTGACTGGAGGACCCCAGCCCATTGAGATTGAGTCCTGCAAGATAGCTCCACTGGGGGTGAGGGCTTGCAGAAGGGAGAAATACAGCTCCGTATAGTAACACAAGCAGCACATTGACAGAATCACCAAGACGCTAGAAACTATCCCTAATAAATGAGCACACCCCAAAGTAATGGGCAGATTTGGTAACACCCCCAAAGTCTGGAAGGCAAACACATAACACCGTTCAGTATTTTGTTAATGCTACTGAAGTACACAGTATTTGTGGCATAACTGAGAGGGTGCTTAGCAGGAGTTAACAAGCTTTAACATGCATGTTCTTGCATCCTAAATGCCCTTAGTATGATCAAAGTGGAACTTCACCTCAGTTTCACACTACTGTAGTTTAATATGCTTTTCTTCTTTTTTCCTCCCCTTTGGTTTACTACTCCACTTCATTTTTGTTTTAGGAGTTATAGACATATTCTTCAATTCCAAGTAACAAACATTTGCTGAGAGCCTAGGATCTATCCTTTCTTCATTTTACTGGCATGCCTATGACTCTGGAAAAATTGATTATTCAGGAGACTTGAAACCAAAGGTCTGGCAAAAGAAAGGTCTACAAGACTTGAAAGGATAGAAGAGATATGGACTCATATATGGACTTGCCTAAGTACCTTGCTGAGTCAGGAGCAGAAGGCCTGAGCAACTGCTAGTTCAATCAACTCTATTTATAGAATCATTGAATCATAGAAAGAAGGACCGGAAGGGACCTATAAGATCATCAAGTCTTGTCCCCTGCCATGGGCAGGGGGTAACTGGGCTCAAACAAGCTCAACGAGATATTTGTCCTGCCTCCTCTTAAAGACGGCCAGAGACGATGACTGCACCACCTCTGCTGGAAGTGTGTTCCAGATTCTAGTTACCCATACAGAACAGAAGATTTTCCTTATGTCTAGCCGAAACTTTTCCTCAACTAGCTTGTGTCTATTGGTCCGTGTCTTCCTGTGGGGGTCTTTTCTGAAAAGTTGTTCACCTAGGTCCTGGTGTTCTCCCTTGACATATTTGTAGATGGCTATCAAGTCGCCTCTCAGCCTTCTTTTGCTCAGGCTGAACAGTCCCAGATCCCAAAGTCTCTCTTCATAGGTCCTGTCCCCCAGGCCCTTGATCATGCAGGTGGCCCTTCTCTGCACCCTTTTGAGCTTGTCCACATCCTTCCTGAAGTGCGGTACCCAGAACTGGATGCAGTACTCCAGCTGTGGCCTCACCAACGCTGAATAGAGGCTGGCAGAGTTCCAGCCCGCAAAGGGGCTGGGGGGGAGCAGTAGGAGGGTGGCCAGGCAGGGGCCACCATGGTCATGTAGCTGGAGAGCAGCTCCCACAGGTAAGTGGGGGAGGAGACTGAGGCCCTCATAGGGAGGAAGGGAGAGGGAGGGAGGGAGGGAGTTGGGCAGGGCTGGGCCTGGGGCTGCTGCCCAGCCTCAGGGTGCATGAAGCTTAGGGCCTGGGGCCGCAACATGTGGCCACAGGGCCCCGCTGGGGAGTGGAATGGGGACATGGGTGGCTCATCCAGGAGGCAAGGGGGTGGGGCTGGCTCCCCACCACTACATGCACTCCTGGGGGGGGGGTGGGGTGGGGTGGGGGCAGGCTGCCCACTGAGGGGTCAGGCTCCCTGCTCTGCTACCCCCTAGAGCCCAGTGGGTGTAACCTGGCACTGCAGGGAAGAGTGGGGCCATGGAGGAAAGCTGCTTGCCACTGTGAGCTCTGTGCTGCCCTGGCAAGGCATTCTCTGTGCACGTGGCAGCAGCAGGGGCAGTGGCACAGGGTTGTCCCCCTCACTGCTGTGGTGTAGGCAGGGGACACATTGCCAGGGCAGTGCAGAGATCGCAGTGGCAAGGAGATCCCTGTGCAGCCCCGCTGTTCTGTGCCATGCCGAGTTGTACCTGCTGAGCTGCGGAGGCACCAGGGGAGGGCAGCAGGGTGGAAGCCCAAGCCCGCAGCAAGCAGCCCACTTCTGCCCCCACTCCATTCACAGATCTTGGGGGTATGGGTCCCTCCTGCCCCCTGAGAGTGCGCACAGCAGGGGTGGGAGCTGACCCCACCCTGCCCAAGCTCGCAGTAGGCAGGCAGTGGGGGTGGGGAGCCGGGCTTTGCGCCACTGCAGCAGCTGCCACCTCCTGCTGATGACAGGGGGCTGTGGACCTGGGTCCCTGGCCCCATAGCCCTGGCAGCTGGAGGCCCCATCCAACAGGGCTGGCAGGGCAAGGAGCTGTGGGGAGGGGCACCAGCAGGACTGGGGGGCTGGAGGGGAGTGAGGGGCACAAACAGTGCCAGGGGTCTGTGTGGGAGGAGTGAGGGGCATGAGGAAGGCCCGGGGGCTGTGAGAGGTGAGTGAGGGGCACCAGCAGGGCTGGGGGGCTGTGGTGGGGAGTGAAGGGAGCCTTTCATTTTAATCACAGATTTTGGAGGGGGGCTGTTCAGAGAATCTGTGATTTTTTAACAGAATTTGTGGGTTTTTTGATCACGGAAAACCAGGATCCCTAGTGATCATGAACAAATCAACTTCTCCCTTACTATGACTAGTGTGATATGATAAAATAACCTCAAAATAAAGAGGAGGAAAAAGTCTTAGGAATATATGGGAGAAAATAATTGATTCTACAATTGACTCCTATTAGTATTTTACTTTTCAAATGGGGCGGGGGCGGGGAGGTGAGGAATCACAGATTTGTGCATCTATTTTATACATCCAATAAACTCTGCTGTAATAGCCATGTTCACAGTAGAAGACAGATTCTGAATTAATAATTTCATGTTCTTAGACATCAGCCTCTCTGTAGTTATTTTCATATTCATTTCCAAAGAGGTCTTATTTTCCAACCTGCTTTGAAGTAGACCACAATAGATGGCCACCAAAACCAGAAGTCTGATGCTATATGACACTTATTATAAATTAACAACCTTTGAAGCCCCTGTGAAATCTGAAAAAATAACTCGTGGTCTCTGTTCTCCTTCCCTACAGTCAGTTGTCACATGATTTACAAACAGCAGAGACGTATGAGAACTGCAGCTGTGACTGTTACAGATGTTACCTGCCTTTCCTTAATGTCATGTAACCTCCTCAACCATTCAGCCACAGCTGAACTTTCCATGGGCTGATTTTTAAACCACTTGCCTCATCTCCCAGTCATTCAAATTAGTCACAGCAACTATGCAGAAAAGGGTATGAGTATGTCTTCCAACAAGATGCACTGCTCAGGTCTTTCTGAGAAAAGAGGCAATCGGGGTAACTCTTTGGCCCATTCCTAACCCATTGTTACATACGCTTTTTAATAAGGAAAGAACTCCGAAGATGTCTATCAGTTGCAAAGCTTTAAAAGGGAGCTTTATAACAACTTGGCCAAATCCTGTAATCTTCATTCTGCTTTTACTAAACTCTCACTAAAATCAAAGAGATATTGCCCCAGTAAGAATTAAGTCATATTTACATAAGAATGAAAACTATACTAATTGAACTAAATTGTGGCCCCCCCAGAGATAACACACAAGTCGCTACAGCGTGACCCAGAGAATCAAAAGGCTTGCATTGTCCATTAATTAGGCACAGATAGCCTAAGACACACTGACCAATCAGGTCCATAAAAAACACAGATTTGGTATGTGGTTGTTGTTAGGTATTTATTGTTTTAGACTACAGAGCATTTTTTGAAAAACAGCACTGAAATTGCCTCAAGAGTCAATGATCAGGTGGTTTTCTCATTAAGTAAACCAGTTACAACCAGTATCAAGATAATTAATAAAGATCCCTTCTTCTTGGAAATACAAATTGCCTGCAAATGCAGGGGATTGGACTCAATGGTCCAGGAGACCCCTTCCAATCCTATGTTTCTAGGTACCTACCCTTGGACAGATTCTCTTTTAAACCAAGATCTGTTTCATACATGGAAGACTTTGATTCTCTCTGTCAGTATCTACCACTCCTAGCTCTTCCACTTGCCAGAGCTGAAGGGTCAAATTCCCCACACTGGAACATGGTCTTTAATGGGGGGAGACTCAGACTATATAAAACTTCATAGAAAGACTATAGTTATAACAGAATTTGAGTGAGTTGTAAGTGATGCAGAGCCCCTGTGCTGGCACTCTGCACAGGAGTGATTTCTATCCGTGATTACTAGTTTGAAAGAAAATAAATTTGATGTTATTCATGAGGGTTAGATTTCCATCTCAAGCATGGGCAGCACAGGCTCAACAGCGTTCCATGATGCAATGACAAACTAATTGGACTATTGCTTTTTTCTGAACAATTGGCATTATCGTTTTCCATGTTTCATTTGGAAAGAACGCAGATTTTGTGTATTACTGTAGTGGTTTTCAAAAGTCAGTGGAAAGAAGTCACCACAATGTCCTAGAATAATCCCCCTGGATGTCGTCTCTTCTATGCCTGGTTTCACTAGACTGGAAGTATTTCCACACACAAGCCACTCCATCAGCTGCAAGAGAAATGAACCTACTACAATCTGGGCTCAGTGCTACATGCAAGACTCTTCCTTTGTGACCTACAAAACAAAGCAAAAGAACATTTATAATCAATCCACTGGGAAATGCCATGATTTTAAAAGGAGAACTGTTGCCATTTTGAAAATCAGCCACCCATTGTAAGGCCTGGTTTACTTTAATGATAGCTATACAACTTGCTGGATAGGATGAACTTTTTGGCTGGGTCAAGTCTGTGCTCTCCACCAATTTTTCCCTAAAAGCTCAATACAAATTTTACTTTGTATTAAGGATCATATTTTAGGGCTCTACAAGATTCTATGACCCTTTTCTCTCAAAGGAGAATGTTTTATCACCCTGTCTTAAATCTGGACACTTGAGTCTCCAGTGCATTTAAAATATGTCTCTAATCTGTGCTTAATAATGAATCATCACTGACCTTTCCTATTTGGCTTCCTGTGCTTCTCAGATATTTTGCCTATAATCCAAGAATCATGAGTTAATGTCTCCAACTTCTGAGGTATTTGCAGTATGAAGGTCTCTTAACAATGATTCTGCCCAATGACTTATTGGAGTCATAAACTGAGTGTATCCACAGTTGTAGTACAATCTATGGAGGACAGGTTGTGAAGCTCTGCTGTGGCCACTTTGTCCCACTCCACCAGCAACAAGAGAAATTAGATAACCTAGTTATGCAAAGATCTCCTCATAATGTGGTCACAAAGCAAGGAATCTGGAGAACGAACTGGAGAAGAAGACAGGCCTAGAATTAGACTTGGTCTTAGGAGACCTGCATCCAATTCCCTGCTCTGCCCCATGATTCCTGTATGACCTTGGAAAAGCCTCTGTGGACTAGACCCAGTTCTTCCAGTTAATGCAGTGTTTAGGCATTTAAGTTACTAAGGATCCTGCTTTGGCCTACGCAGCACCCTGAATTCCATGAAGGCACCAAAATTCATGACATGTCTCCAGTTTTGCCCTGTGAGTCGAAACTTGTCCCACTGCAAATGCTTGGAAGTGATTCAAGGCATCCAACTCCATTTTCCCTCTGTTGCAATCCACTTTTACCGTAGTAGAGGCACAAAAATTCACTTAAGTCCTCTAAAACTATAATCAGCATAAAACTGACTAGCAATGCTGCTATCCACTTTTGCTGAGTAGCCTGGTAGACAAGACACTTGCTTAAGATATGGGAGACCCAAATTCTAAGCTCACTTCATCCCAAAACTCTTTTGAATCCTGCTCTCCCACATCTCAGGACAGTGCTCTGGTCCCCAGGCCACAGGCTAAGTAAAGCTATGGGCACCTTCCACCTCTTCCCTCTCCCCCTCCCTCCCCCACCCTCCAAAGAAGCTGGCTTCCTGGCCAGCCAAGATATAATAATTCAAGGGACCAGAAAAACAAATAAGAGGAAACCTGACTGTGACTCAGTGAACAATACTGCTCTGGGAAGGAGGCCCCCTTTCCCAATATTGTATATGCATTTTGCTTTAAATAATGATTGGTCAAGATGTATAAAGAGTACTGTGACAGAGAACAGGCTTCTTCAACTGGTGTTTCATCTGTTTGAAAGATCTCGCCCAGCAGGGCTGTAATATGTGCCCATACTGTACTAATTGGAGAGCAGACTAGTGGTAGTCCTAATACAGCACTTCTTCCACCAGAAAATGCCAGTTGGGAAGCATTAGCTAGAATCCTTAACAGGAAGAAGTGTGCACCTGAATTTAAAAAGAAGAAAGTAGTGGATTGGGAGCAGTGAACCTCAGGGTCTCCAACTTTACTTTCAGAAAAATAAAACTGGCACATGTAACACTATTAAGCATTGTGCATGCCTCCCACACTGCTTTACAGGATGCTAGCCTGCTTTCTCTACTGTCAAATCTTGCCTGAAATCACACTCCACCCATGACACCTCTCATCATATCTCCACCTTATACAAAAGGGCAGAGTGGACATACTAAAGACCGATGACACATTTGTTTTCCGATCACCCTATCCATTATAGGCCTGAGTCCCCTCTCACTTTTAGTGATGCAACCCTATGGGGCAAAATTGTGCTCTATTTTACAAAAGTGCAATCTAGAAGAATGCTGTTACAGTGACATTACTCCAGATTTATATCATTGTGAGGGACATAAGGGATGCAGCTGATATTAAATAGTTATTGCACAATATGCATAAACAACATTGGAGGAAGGCTCAGAATCCAAGACTTGCTCAGCATTGCTCATCTCACTTGGCCACAGTTAGGCTGCTACTTACTTGCTTTCTTTTTGGACCCATTAATCTTTATCTCTTTACTAACCAGTGGGCCAAACAGTGGCTGAATGATGCTGGGATATAGAACAGCTGGGTTCAAACCTTCTGAAGCTATGGAGGGATTAGAATCAATATGTCTCCCAGATCTTGGGCGAGTGTTTTAGCCAGTAGGTGATTTACAGAGAGCATGCATTTTTTTTAACCTGAAGTCAATGCTACTGTCTGCCAGATAGACAGTTCAGGTACACTGGTTCAGGTAGGTATCTCTCTGCTCAGGTCCTTAACTTGTCTTATTATAGATTAAATACCTAACTAAATTAAAAAATATAGAAAGCCAGATCCAAATCAATCTCCATCTCCAAGACAGTGTTCAACACAATGACCATGCTCACAAAAACAATCTAAATCAACCCCATCTCAGAAGCTTCAAAAACACTTGAGTTCATTAGATGCCTCAATTTTGGCCTATTTGTTTCCTATGCACATAGACTTCAGCTTCCGAACCTGGCTAAGAAGCAATCTGAATCAAGCACCTGGGTGCCTAAATCCTACATAAGTGCCATTGTATCCAGAGGAAAACTGGAAGGTACCTAAAGTCTACTTAAGTACTGAATCTGTCAAGTATACACAAGACTCACCTAAAACCAGCAGTCATGGCCACTCTCACTCAGAAGGAATAGTGAAGTCCACTCTTGAAAAATAGCTTAGGGGTTAGAATGCTTAACCGTAAAATGGAAGGCCTGGCTTTATGCTCACTTCACTATGACAGACCTCAAACATACATATCCCTCTTCCCAAAAAAGTGCCCTAATGATCAATATATAGTATAGGCTGAGTGTGAAACCCTCCTCCACACCTGTGGCACTGGCCTCTGGACAGCAAGGAATTTAGGATGCACTGGGACAGGAGGAGAGAAGGCAACAAAAAGCTGGATTCTGTAGCCCAGCAAGGAGGGCACTCCCTTAGGAAATGGGAGACTGGGAGATGATGATCCCTGCTGCCAGAAGTTTATGCATTTGACATTAGCTAATTAAATTGGACCCCTAGCATCAGGGACTGGAACACAATCTAGTGGCTTAATTTGATGGAATTTGAGTCCTTCAAGCTAAGGCGGGCCTAGAAGTGAGGTCTACCACTTCCTAGGCAAGTGGCCTAACCACTAAGCTACTTTGCAAAAATGGGGAGTGCCACCACTACCATCACTTGTGCTTCCAAGTAACAAAGGCCATGGGTGCGGCACTTTGCAATGAACCCAAAGCACTCAGTTTGAGTTGAATGTCTGGGTCATCTAGGACCCTCCCTTCTGGGCACTCTGAATCCTGAGGTTATCAAAGTACCTATTGTACAGGTCTTCAAAGTGCCTACACACTGAGGAGGAATTTAACACATCCTTTCTTAGGATTTCTTAGTGGATCGCTCCCTTGTCAGCATCTAGGGGTAATCACCTAACAGAAATTGTTTCAAGAACAATTTGTATCTAGCCCAGAGTGTCCTATCTGCTGGAATGTCTCACAGGGCCAAGTGACTAGTAACAAATTAGAACACACCTAATGCTAAATAGTAAGTCACTTGGCAGGGGCTATACAGTGGGAATTTTACCCAAGGTTTAATCCTAAGTGTGACCTCATCACTAATTTGTTTTTCATTACAGGATAGCAATAACATTCAGGCCATTATTGATTATAGAAAAGTGAAGCCTGAGCACTCCTAAACTGAGTGGGCTTGAGTTTGCACAGCAGAAGATTCTTAACATAATCTCCTTGACAGAAGGAAGAGAGTCCAAAATGTATCAGTTTGGCAACATTTTAAAATGAAGAGTTTATTTGCCAAAGTTTTGGGGAGATTGAAACTCCCCTAATATTTACAGATTTGGATTCATTCTTTTGGAGGAAAGAAAAGACAATATAAACATCTCTTCAGTTTTCCAATTGAGCCATAGGACCAAGCTATCAATTACTCTCACAGCTCTGCTCATCAGAAGGACACAAAGAATAGACTCAATATTTGAAAAGTGGGCTGACTTCCAGTTACCGTTCTGGTATGAAACTACCTAATACCAAACAATCCAACTCCAAATTAATCCAATGCTGGATAAAGGTGATTATCCCTCAGATGAGATTCACAGAATTTGGCAGGACAGGCTTCTAAAAATTAAAACCCAGTGATTTTTCTGTGAATGTCTTTCTTGTGAAACTCATGTGGTTAAGGAAATCTCTGACCAACATAAGAAAAGATCAGCAATTATATTCATGGCTTTTTTTCTAAATATATATTTTGGTCCAATAACATTACACTTTCTTACTCCGTATGTTCATTATAAGGTCAGCATAATTTAGTCACTTGAGTCCCAACAGAAGATTCTAGTTAACAGGTACCCGGTCTTCATGATTAAGAAATGTGTTTCCATTACATAACTTTAAAACTGAATAGGAAAAGAAGTCATGCTGATAACCACAGTATTATAGCAAATGATAAGCTTGTGTGATCTAGCTTGTGTGATAAGTGTGTCATGCTTAATATGCCGAATTTTAGCCAATTTTGGATTTTAAACTTCATTACAGAACAACAAGAAAGATTTTTTACCTCCCTGCCTGCCATCTGACACCCCCAGGAAAGGAATCATACCTGATCTACACTTCAAAGAGTTACTCAGCACAGCTCACAGAGCCTGATGAAGGGACTTTGATCCCAAAAGCCTGCAGAAAAGGACAATTTTCTTGCAATTTCCCAGTTGGTCTAATAAAAAGTATCATTTTGGAACCAAGAGTTCTAGTTTTTTGTATGTCTTCATGCTTAATATTAC